CCATGGGAGAGCGCGGTGCATCACCCCCACGCGCGCTGCTGCCGGAGTCGGGACCGGTGGCTGAGCTCGCCGATGCACTGTCAGCGTTGGAGGGACCTGGAGCGCTGCCGGGCGAAGTGTGAGCGCCAGATATGTTGTGAGCATCAGCGTCGAAGACGCTCTGAAGGTGCCCATTTAGTACAAGTCCAAGAAAATCAGCGTAAATTGTACTCACAGCCGGCAGGTTCACGTTGAGCCAGCCTACGAGCTCAGCGAGCTCGTCATCCTCCCGTTCGAGAGGGTGTAGCTCGTGGGCGGCGAGTACAAGGTGTGCGGCAAAGAGATAGAAGTCATCACGATCCACGCCCAGATGCCCGAGCGCAAACGCGCGGTACATGAGGATGATCGCGACCAGACTCTCCAGCTGCTCGTCTGAGGCCCCACACTGCGTCCAGAATGGACCGTGCGCGAAGTGCAGCCACACCTCGATCTGAGCCTGAGTGACTTTGGTACACTCATCGGTGGGGAACAGGAGCTACAAATGGTTTGATTAGTAAAGGAGGGCATATGAGGTGTTATCCACGGCTCACCGTGAGAGCGTTAGTTGGCCCATAGATGAGCATCACAACGAACGGAATAGGTTCCGAGTTGTCGTGCTCGTCAGGCATCGTGCTGGCCGATGTAGAGTCGATGTGCAGATAGATGTCAGCGCCATCGCCCTCCGCGTCGTACATGGGTGGGGGCGCGGTGGTGTGAGTGGACATGCGTGGCGGCCGGTTGCGCAACATCTGAGAGGACGAGTTTGACACAAAGTCGATGACTCCGCTGCACCAGCTTATGTAGTTTTTTGCGTTAAGGCGGATCCCCGCTGAGGCCCGCTCTGAGTAGGACGTCGTGCGCCGTGTGCGGTGCTGTCGGCCGTTATGGGCCGTCCGACATTCGGACTGTCATGCCTTGAGGACAGTGTTGCATGCGATTCAAAATCAAGACATACCCCGTTTTTATGTTGTGCCGTGTTGTACCTTGACTCATGGATTGTCGTTTTGTACCACAGGAGGCACTTGGAGCTCATGAGGGAAGGAGTGTGTGATCCACGCAGTTAGGGCGCTTAGACAGTGAGATTACGATCTGATGAGGAGCTGCGAGGGAGTAGTAGCGTCGGCAGCGAAAACAGAGAGTGAAGAGCTATCAAATGAGCTCGGTGGTCAAGAGAGTTGTGGAGGTGTTGAGCGGACGCGCATACACTGGTCTGTGCATCGCATGTGCTCCATATGGTTGCTTCTGCGTGGGGACAACTGCCAACCTAGGCGCTGTGGGTGCCCTGCTCGATGTGCGTCTTCTCAGGCTCACTCTTCCTCTTGCCACGTCGCTCTCCTGCCCCTGAACTCCTCCTGGATATCGTCCTCCATGCGACGCCTTCCTTGGCCTTGTTCTGCCATATTTCAACCGGTACGTGCTGTACAGTATCCCAAGTTTCTTGGCGCTGACTGTCTGTGCCCAGGTACACCTACCTCGCTCTGCAGCTGACGCAAATGCAACCAGCATGATAAGGGAACATGTGGGAGGGTAAGACATCAACATCATATTTTCTGAAGTTGCGCGACCACTGACCGGCCTTCCAGGAGCATGTGCCGTTCACTGCAGTGACCTGCGACTCCAATGTGCGCCCGCCATGCCTGTACCGCATGTAGGCAGTCGGTCGGCCATCGGTTCATTGGGTCTTGGTGGCCGATGGTAACTCTACGGTGAGACCTACGGGAGGATATAAGCTGGTCCTCATCCTGGGTAAGTCCCCAGAGTTTCACCGCTCGTACCCTCTCCTGTTTTGCTCAACACGGCATTCCCCCTGCAGTCTCATGTCTTTTGAAGCTGGCAACAAACACCGTCGCGATACCATGTCCTCGGAGGCCACCTGCGTTGTTCTTAGTGGGTCAGCTGGCGAGGGTGGATTGGACGCAACTCCACTGCAACCAGCCAAGGCTCGCGGACGACCCTCCGACATTGCGAGCCCGCCCAAGAAGAAACTCAAGGACGACGGCTCTGACGACGACTCTGACGACGACTCGCAAGCTGGCGACGTGTCCTCTCCCGAGGGCGATCCTTCCGACGACAGCAAGAACAGCGCGGCGGACGGCTCTGCTGAGGAGAGCGGAGCTGAGGCTGCCACCGATGGCGGCATCGAGGCCTTGGCCACCGTCACCCGTAATGCGAGCCGCCGTCTCCGTCTTCTCACTGCGGACGAGAAGCGTGTGCGCTTCCAGGAGAAGTATCATGGCCAGACACCTGAGGAGATACTCCGCAAGTGGTTTGATATCTTGTGCACATTTCAAGCGGCTGATTGGTGTCGTTTGTTGCAGAAATCATCTCCAAGGGCTGGAGATCGAAGGTCTACGGACACTTCAAGGTTCTGGAGCTCATTGCGGGACCCAAGGGGTCCTATATCTACCGATTTGTTTGCAAGAGGTAAGTCCCGTGCAATCCTACACTTACAATAGTTCCCTGGTACTTATCACTTCATCAGGTGCCCATCCAAGCATGTTGATCGTGCCGATTACGAGTACTCGACTGGTAACCTCAAGCGCCATGTCGACTCCTGCGAGCCCGATGACACTCCCGAAGGCGAGAAGATCTCGGCATTCGCTCACGGCATCACCTACACCCCTCCACATATCCGCCTCTTTCTTGCGCTGTGGTGTGCTCGCCATCACCGTCCCTATGCAATCGTCGAGGATCCGGAGTTGCAGAACATCTTCCGCATGCTCTATGCCAAGGTCAAGATCCCCTCGTGTGTCAATGGCTGAACCCCCACCAAATGTGCTCGCATTCCTCGGGATCACGGTCCATTGGCACTGGGAAGGGAAAATACACCAGGAACACAGTGACAGAAGTCTTGGCCTGCGCGTTGGAAATGTGCGACATTCTCACTGAGCTCTGTGACAAGACACAGTTCAACCGTCGCGACGGCGTCCGCCTCCATTGATTCATGCTCGACAACGAGGAGTGGGAGCTGCTCTACGAGCTTCACAGGCTCCTCGGTGTGAGTACTCGCGCCGACTGCTTCTACCGAGGATTCATAACTGATCTGCTGCACTGCTCACAGCCGTTCCTGTTCGCAACGAAGCAGATCTCGACCAGCAGCCGCGCGCTGGTACACGAGCTCATCCCATATATCGATATCCTTACCGAGCACCTCGACGGCTTTGCGGATGACGACACACTCGTGGCGACCGTTCGTGCAGCTGCGGAGCGCGGGCACGTCGTCCTCAACAAGTACTACGAGAAGACGGATGAGTTGATTGTCTATCGCATCGTGATGAGTAAGCATTGTCCCTATAGTATATACTGGTACTTTGCTAACATCTTCGCAGTCCTGCATCCCGCTTACAAGACTCAGTACTTCCGCTTGCACAAGTGGATTGAAGAGTGGATTGACGAAGCCAAGGACATCATCAAGGAGGAGTGGGAGACATACTACAAGCCAGCCGACATTCCCGTCGTCCCCACGTTTGTCTCTGTGTGCTCCAGCTCCGGAGTGTCCTCGACAAAGGCCAAGAACACCGCAAAGACTCCCGTAGGTGCTGCAAGTGGCAAGCAGAAAGGCAAGGTGGTCGCGAACTCTGCACGGCGCAGTGCACAGGCCTCGGTGAATGCGGTATGTCTATCATGTACTCTTGGACAGGCACATTCCTCATTCCTTTCAGGCGTCCAAGGCCATGTTTGTGTCGATCTCTGCGAACACCAACAAGAACAAGGACACCCTCACCGCCTACCTGTCTCTGATCCCTTGATCTACTGGGATCTGGTCTTGAAGAGTGCGGAAGACCCGCAGTCGGCCGACTGTGCACTGGCCAGGATGGCCCTGGACTTCTTGTCCATCCCAGGTATGCCGTGGTCGTGCAACTCTACGCTCACAAGCCACAGCTGATGCTAATAACCCCTTCCATAGCTACTTCCACTGACACTGAGCGCACGTTCTCGCATGGGCACCTCACCGTGTCTCGCCTTCAGCACTCCCTCGGAGAAGACTCCGTTTGTGCGGGAACTGTGGTCGGCTCGTGGGCCGGCATCCCTGCCATCCTGCGCGAGGACAACCTCGTGAACATAATAAAGGCCGGTCCTGCAGTGGCGGCTCGCAAGCAGGCTGCCAACGACACGGAGGCTCGCACCGCGGAGGCTGGTAACGTGATCAAACTTGATCAGTTGCGGTGGCCGCGCCACTGCGTATCTCTAGACTCTGTCCTTAGCGACTGTACAATGTATCAAGGCAATCTATATGTGTTCCGTTCTAGACTTGTTGTGGGTATCATGTGCTTTGGCACTGTATGTCTCCGCGCTAGCAGCGACAAATAGGCACACATTATAAGAGTTCTACGGTGTTTGGTGATAAGTACTTGGTTGTTGAAGCACTGTATTTGGCAGGCAACTATGACATCATCACCATTCTCACTCATCTTGGGTCGTCACTTGTAGACCTTGTATCTCGTGCATTTCTTCGTCGTTTAGACTCGTTTTTTGTGTGTCTGAAATTGGCTGAGCAGCGCTACATAACGCACTACTTTAGAAGGCAGTCAAAGTAAAACTCGATTTTTGGATCACCAAACCGTGCATCCGTGAACTTCGGGTGCAGATCGTGCGGGTCACGGGATCACTGAACCGTGAATCCGTAAACTTTAGGTGCGGATTGTGCGGGTTGCGGATATCCGAGCACGCGGATAGTGCCGGATCCAGATCGGGCACTATGATCTGTCCAAAACCTACGGGTTCGGATCCGGGTGAGCTGTGGGTCGACCCGTGCCCAGCCTTAATTGGGATGGCACAGATAAAAAATCAACGAGGGCACTGCATTAGGTAGCAGGCGACAAAATAAATCTACGCTGCATGCTCAAACCTCTCCATGGTCTCGGGCACCTCTTCGCCCCTGTACCACCAGCAGGCACTATTGTCATACCAAACCTCTCCCATGCATCCTATCATCAGCAATATACCAATGGCATTGCTAGAGGTGAGAACAATGTGATGAGAAACAGCTGCATGGTGGAAAATGGCACGCACCTGATGAGGGAGGGGTAAAGCAAACCACGTTCGAAGAGCATTGGAGCAGTCTCGCGGCACCAGTATGTGATGCTGAACGTGTAGTAAGGGCAGCTCCGCCAAGTTTTCTTCAGACAGTCGATCAGGATACGTGACACTGCCGACACCACAGAGGCATTGATGATGGGTGGTTCAGAGGACATGAGGTGGTGCAGAAAGGTAGGGCTGTCTGCGAACAGTGTGTTGAACACCATTTTGAGAGCCTGCGTCCGGAACTGACTGTAGGTCAGCACAAGCATGACAGGGGAGCATGGCCGACATACATTCACCATGAAACCAGAAGCTGTACTTTCGAAGCGGTTTGCAAAGTGGATGTGATGCTTGGCCCATTCTTCGGAAATGCAGACAGGGAGATTGTGAGAGGCAATCATGCGCTGGGTTTGTCCGACCTGATGGG